CCTCTCTTCCTTCCTCTCCTCCTCCCCTTCCTCCTCTCCTTCCTCCTCCTCCTGGCTCAGGCTGAGGCCATGACCTTCCTCCTCATCTTCCTCATCCCCCTGGTCCAGGCTGCGATGGTGGGTATCTTCTTTGCTCTGCTCTGAACCTTCATCATCTTCCTCATGGGAGCCGGCATCTTCTTCCTTCTCCATTTCCTCTTCCTCCTCAGAATCTCTCTCCTCCAAATCTCTCCTCGACTCGACCCCTGTGTATTCTGGGGGCTGGTGGCTAATCTCTTTAATGGACACTCCGTGGCCAGTTTCTTCATCTCTGTGGCCTTGTTGTCTATGGCTGAGATCTTGGTGGCCAAGCTCGGCAGAGATGTCCTCATCTTCCCCCTTGGGGACCCTGTGGTGGTGATGGCCAGGGACTTCTGTTTTATACTCATCTGGTAAGTCCTCCTCTTCAGAGCTCTCGTGGCTTTCAGGTTGGTGACTTGCAACATGGTGGCTGAACTTGACTGTGATCTCCTCCTCCTCCTCTCCAAGGCCGTGGTGGGTATGTCTGTGAACCTGGTGCCAATGTTCAGTGGACACATCCTCATCCTCATCTTCTTTGTCTTCGGGGCCTCGATATCCATGGCTGGGGACATGATGGTGGTGTTCCTCTGAGACATCATCCTCTTCCTTCCCACGGCCTCGGTGCCCGTGGGCCTGGTGTCCATACTCATCGGAGATGTCACCTTCTTCTTCATGGCCTTGGTGACTATGGGCTTGGTGTCCGTACTCCTCAGAGACGTCATCACTTTCTTCTTCTTCTTCTTCTTCGTGGCCTTGGTGACTGTGGGCCTGGTGTCCATACTCATCGGAGCCATCATCTTCTTCTTCTTCATGGCCTCGTCGCCCGTGGTCTTGGTGTTCATAGTGATCGGAGTCGTCATCTTCTTCTTCGTGGCCTTGGTGACTGTGGACCAGGTGTCCATACTCAGCAGAAACACCCGCCTCCTCATCTTCATCATCCTCTTCCTCTCCGTGGCCTCGGTGTACATGCCTGATGACATGATGTTGATACTCACTGGACACAACTTCGTTCTCATCCTCGTCTTGATGGCCGTGGCTTCCGCGGCTGGGGTAGTGGTGCCGGGTCTCGGCTGAATCGTCCACGTCTTCGTTCCCATCGCCTCTGTGCCCATGGGCCTGCCCGGCACGCTCTGTGAAGACCTCCTCGTCAGAGACATTCTCATCTTCGACCTCATGGCCTTGGTACCTGTGGCCTTGGAGTTGGTGACCGTATTCCCTGGAGACGTCTTCGTGCTCTTCTCCGTGGTCTCTGTGCCTCCAGAATCGATGCCCACTCTCTGTGGAAGCATCCTCGTTCTCACCGCTACGGCCGTGGGTGAGAGGACCAAACTCACCTGACGCGTCCTCTGACAGCCCCACGACTCCTGCATTGCTGTTCCAGTTGCTGGGGCCCGGCCCACCCCCTCTCAGCTGCTGGGTCATGGCGCCGGGGAGCAGCAGGCCGGCCACGGCAGCCCAGAGGAGACAAGTGCGTGTCCATGGCCCACAGTGGCCCATGGGGACGGACAGGCAGCAGACTTTCTCTCAGGCTGGCTCCAGCTGCCACTTGCGGCTATGCGAATAAATGTCGGGGGTCCTTGTCTCTTTTGGGGTCTTTCTCTTTCTTTCTCTCTGTGTCTTTTCTTTGCCGTGTCTCTTTCTGTCTTTGCCTGTCCGCCTTCCTCTGGCCCTTGCTCCAGGCTCTGGACACCCCTGTGAAGCACTCTCAGGAGCCCCTCGACCCCCCTCGTGGGCCCTCCCTCCCACTTCCCAGCCAATAGGGTCTCTCCCCTCCCCTCTCTGTGGCTAAATTTACTCTCAGCCCTGAGTTATTCTGGGTTGGTCTGCCTGCCCTTCCCCTCCTGCTGCTCCTCCTCCCTGCTGGGGACGGGTGGGTGAAGGGGTCCCTCCTTAGCCAGGAGAGGGGAGCCCAGGCACTTGACTTTGGACCACCAACTAGTTCATGTTTGGCAACTGTGAAGACAATGATTAGACTTTTAGTGGGCCAGGTCGCGTGAGCCTGGGGCATCTGGAGGCGGGAGGGACTTATGTGAGCTGTAAGACCCCTTCCATGGAAGGGTTGAGAATTAGATTATGGGGGGCTATTGGCCAGAATGAGATCATTTGCTGAGAGAGTGGATGCCGAGACAAAGGCCTTGGAGAAGGGTGAAAGGAACCCTGCTCCCAGCACACGCACCCATGACCTCCTGGAACTCAGATCTGGGGGCAGGGGACGGGGCCAGGCCGAGGCTATAAATACATCAAGGGGGTGGGGGGCTCAGGTTACCCAGGAGGCTGCAGCTGTCCCTGTCAGGGAGACCTGGCAGAAGACACGTGGCCCTGCCTGTCCGCGTGTCAATATCTCCCACCCTCATCCTGTCACGTGGGTTCCCATCCTCCTTTTGGGTTGACCCCTCTCTCTCACAGTTTCTGTCACCCACTCTCTCACGGACCCCGTCCCACCTCCCCAGGATTCTGGCCCCCTTCCCCCCACCCTTGGGCTTGTCTCCCCCTCTCACTCTGAGCGTCTGTCCCCCACCCAAGTCTTTGTCTCCCGCTCTGGGTCAATGTGTCCCCTCCCTCATCTCTGACATTCCCTCTCTGGGTCTCTCGGACCCCTCCAGAGCCTCTGTCTCCCCCTCTGGCGGTCTCTGCCGGGAACTCCTGCCCCGCCCTTCGCCCCGCCTCCCGTCACGTGTCTCCGAGACTCCCCGCCCCTCTCCCCGACTTCGCCCCGCCCCAGGCGGGGCTGGGAAGGCGGCCGATCCGGTTTGTCTAGAGCGGATCTTGTATCGGGGTTGGGGAAGGGAATGTGGGGTGCCGGGTAGGTTGCGGCAGCTGCGGCGGCATGGTGGGTACGGAGAAGGAGCAGGTACAGCGGCCGGACCCCGGGTTTGAGGGAACGGGGAGCTGGGGCTTGGTCTCTTGGTTCGCAGAGAGGACGGAGCCGGAGACACAGATTTTTGGGGTGAAACGAAGGAGGGGTTTAGAGGGGCCCAGAGTCCTGGGTCCTTGGGGACGGATAGAAGGGGGACTGTGGGGCGGGGGGGAACTCGAGACCCCCGAGTCTGGGGGAGGTGGCGCCGTGGTCCCCGACTCTTGGATCCCGGGTGGGGGAGGGTTAGGGCGCGGGGCGAATGACGGCGTGTCCCGTAGGACTGAACTTGAGCCTCCCGCCCCTTGTTCCTGTCCCCAGAGTTGGATCCCCAAGATCTTCAAGAGGAAGACATGTACGACGTTCATCGTCGACACCACAGATCCGGGGTGAGGCGTTCGCCCGGGGGAGCCCGCCGGGAGCTTCCCCCCACCCCCGCCCCGCTGA